TTTAAATTTTGGGGTTTGCTTAACGGTCAAGTTGGAAAAAAAACCAACCCGTTATGCCTGTCACTAGACAGCACTGTCAATTTACTACGGTTCAGTGGTCTTAAAGCTCTTTTTCGTCGACATTCGTTAGTTGTTGGTGCTGTCAAAAATAACGTTACGGAAGGATTAACGATTCGTTATTTTCGTAGCACTAAAACCTCTATAATAACATGTTTTCATAAAATTATTATTATACAGGGTATCTCACAAGTCATGAAGCAAACAAATGGGAGCGATGGGGGGTTATTTTCAATCAAAAAAATTATGTATGTCATCCGATTATGCACTGTTTTTTAGTTATAGACATTTTTAAGAATTTGTGGAAAATCGCTACTTTTGAGACTGTACTATTTTTTCTCAAGTCGTCTTTTATTTCTCAATCAGATTTACGGGATATATTCCCAAATAATGTGTCGCTGGAAAAAAGCTGTGGGTGAAAATTTAGTTGAGTTAATGTAGGTAAGCAATCGGCTAATTTGCAATTTTGTCCGACTTTATAAAATATTACAGCATATTCAACGGGGCCTGTACAAACAAATATTAGGCGGATAAAGAGTCCACAGTGATGAAAAACTATACTATGACCTTTCAAAAATACCTATTAGATAATCAAATATCCTAAATAGTTTCTGTGCAAAGTAGACAAAATGCTGGAAGAAGAATTCAGTGTACTGTCGACGTAGCTTACTTTCAGTTAACTGTAATACAACATCCCACATCTTCAGCATCTCTGCGGCCTTTCTGTTCTTACTGAGCCGCTTTAAAGTGCTTTCGAATTGATAGTTGTATGCACCCGGAGTGTGACGCTCCCGAACTGCTCTAGCAAATGTCCACGGGAACGCGACGATAAAAACCTAACCTGTTTTTTGATGTTTTGCTTTGATTTGAAGTTAACAATTTGTATCAAACTGACAAACAATTGAAAATGTAAACACGTTTTACATTTATTTTCAGAAGCATTGTCAGACTATCCAATTGATGCCTGATGAAGCTTTTAGAATGATGGCGCAACACGTCAAGAGTCTGCATTTTTATTGTAAAGCTTCTGGATAAATGTGTCGAATTCATATTTTAGTGTAGACATTCAAAATTATTTTCAAAGTGTCAAGTTATAGATGAAGCCAACTACAAGCCGCTATGAACCTGCATCCTTGCACTATCTTTTGATCTTTATTATTCAGGAACATCTCAAATGTACGTTTTGACTGGGTCATAACATTATCACTAGTTTACCATCCTCCATTGCCTGGTATCGGTTTATATATATATATATATATATATATATTTATATATATATTTCGGGCCCACATGTTTACATTAAATTCCTCTTGGAAAGTGCTTAGTCGAACTGCGTGAGCGATTTAAGAAGACCACAAGTGGTCGTTTCTATGGTTTATGATCCCCTGCCTCGTAAATTTTGCTTCGTTCGTCCATAGAATTTTTTGTGACATTGAGGGAACACTTTCAATCTCGTTCCTATGTTTAACAAAGTATATGTAGCCATATACTACAAGAATATTAAAATATGGCCATTTAACTCACTGGATGATGTCCACCTGTATACGGTTTTGCTAATATCTGTTTTCATCTTTTTTTCATCATTTCTGCTAAATCAATAAATGTTTTCTTTGACATGCGGAAAACTTTAGAGAATTGAAAGTTATCATATCTACAAAACCATGGTTCCATCATTAAAAAAAAATTCCTGAAAAAAAAAAACATTTCTCCCATAAATATTATGAAAGGTTTCTTATTTAAACTTTCCATACACCGTTGTAGACAAAAAAGCACCGATTATTAAGTGATAATAAAAATAATCAGAGATTATATACGCACTTTTCTAAAATAAACAACTTGCAACAAAACCGCGGTTAAAACCAACGCGTTCAAGCGATTTGTGTAATAACACAGAAATTTTGGTTATTCGCTTGGATTTGATGTTTGATTTGTCATTTTCATGTATACCTTGACCCATGTTAGATAGCATTTATCAGTTAACGTAGAAGACTTAGGATAACAATTTTGGTGTCATTTTGCAGATAACAGAGTTAGCTGTAGAATTAGCACAAAAAACTTCACAAATTAGTTTTTGAATGGTGTGCGGAAATGCACAAAATAATCAATTTTCTTGCATATTTTTTTCAGGTTTTGTCTGTTTTTAAGTATGTTTGACGGTTAGTATCAATACATGTTTTTCAACAATCGCTAGAACAACATGCTATTGTTCAACTGACACCAAATTTATCGTTCTGTGACACTTATGTTCTCAGTTATTGCAATTTTCATACATGCACTAGCGTAATCGTAACGTAAAAATAAAAATGGATGCCATTTCAAGAGTGGTGAGGTAGGACATTGTAGGGGGGTGGATTTGTCGATAAAAATAGCTGAAAAATACCCCCCTTAAATATCGGTAGGTCGTGACCAAACACATTGTATATACAGGGTGACTTTGAAGTTGAGTCATTAATTTTCAGATAATGATTGTAGAAGGGAGATAAACCAAAATATGTGTGTAAAAATAAAAAAAAAATTAAAAAAAATGTTACCTTGTTTTATAAAATATCCTCCCGACAAGTATTTCAGTGCGGACCTGTATTTGATCGTGCGGTCTTGGAGCACCGGCATGCCTGTGAGGTCTTAAGTCACCTGATTCACGAGCCCTTTGTACTACATTAACAAAGGCACGAGGGGTTGGTTGCACTCGATTGGGAAACCGATTCGCACAAATCTGTGATGCCGCGGCAGCATTTTGTAAAGACTCCCCCCCCCCCCCGTAAATAAGAATCATGTCCACAAGTTCAGTATTTTCGTAAACATGTGCCATTTTTTATTTCGTTTGAGCCTCGCAACAAACACTACTATTCACTCACACCTTATCGACTGACGAAAAACATCGTGATAAACGTTTCAAATTCTTTCGCTTTTTTGTTTCCGATGCGATGAACCGAGGCGGATTATATCCGTTGTTGCCAAACACCAGCACATAATATTATTGAGACAGGGCGGTACTCAAACTTCTAAAGGGCTATAACTTTGTTACTTTAATTTTACCAGAAAAATGGTAAAGGAAAAAACATTTCTTTTGATCAGATCTACTCACTGTTAAAATAAATGACTCAACTTCGAAGTCACCCTGTATATATATAAAACAAAAACGATGAAAACACATAACCTAACGATCTTGACACATTGTCATTTTCATGATCCCCACTATTTCGGAGCGGCTGACACCGAATACAAAGCTGGTGCATGAGGGGGCAGGGGATTTCAAAAATGAGTAGCTCAGGTGCATGACACTCCAGAGCACTGGAACGGTATTGACAGGTGGTGGGTAGCTCCGAGTAACACAAATGGGGTACTGGAAAGCGGCTCAGGTTCCCCAGGCATGTCTTCTGTTACACGAATAAATGTTCGATTGTACGGAAAATTTTCTTTACTGGGACATATAGGTGCTGACGAAACCGATATTCGTCGTCAGCACCTCGAAATTTTTCATTGCACAATCCATAAATGAAATGCAATTCTGCATACTCCTGTGAGGACCATGGCATCTTGCATCCAGGAACATAATTGGGGCAGGATATTATCCACTCATCCCTTTCGTAATAGGGCTGTTTGTTTATATCATCTACCTAGTATTATTAACCTATTGGTCAGGTAATACTTCGGGATTTCCATAACCCTTCTACTGCCCAATATCATGTTAGGGTCCACCTACCCTACATTGACAAGACCTGGCATTTCTTGGACTTTGAGGACTTGTTATCCCTCAATTGTTTCTTCCTTGTTTGCAGAAGGTAGAAGATCAACAATGGCAGGTAAAAGTTTAAGTTTAAAAGTGGGAATTTCCGGATTTAGGGTAATTGCAGCATTTTGTCTACTCTGCAAACGAGACTATTTAGGATTTAGGATATTTGATTATCTAATAGGTACTAATTGCTTTTTTCTAGCGACACATCATTTGGAAATGATCAACATAAAATATAAGAGCAAGCAGTCTTTGTATCCAAATCACTAAGGAATGAAACGACCTAAACAGCGAAATAGCACGTGTGTAGCACTAACACAAGGAGTAGTATTAAATTAACCCCAAGCGTGCGGTGCGCCCTGTTCCTCGAGGTGACATAATGAACAAAGAATGTGAGAGCGAGATAGTCAATGACATGTTTAGGTAGTTTCATTAGTGATTTGGATACAAAAGGCGCTTATTTTTTATTTGTAGTATTTCGCAAGTATTACGACTTCAATGACAAAACTTGGAATTATTCAATTCTTAGTAGAAAGAACCGACAAGTGTTATACTATTTTTAAAAGAGCATTAACTAGGCTGGTTTTTAAGATCACTAGCCGATTCAGTCTGGTACATGTTTTTCAAGTCAAACTTTAGTAAAGGTTTTTACATTGAAACAAAATGTATTAATTTTTTTAGCATACCGTGCTAGCTTTCAATGAAATGAATACTCGGTTGTCTCAACAAAAACTCCGAAGTTAGAAGATCTTAATATGGAAAAAAGGAGCAAAATGTAGTGATTTTTTCAAAAAACCCAAAAGTGACAATATCTCGAAAACTAGAAAACTTTTACTGAGGTCATGATGATTTTATCTGATTGATCTGAAGCGAATCTACCTCTCGTGTCACTCTGGCGTGTTATTTCTGGAACGCCCTGTATAAAGTGCTAGAGCGTTAAGCACCCGTGAAAAGTATGATTTATGGCTTCATCAAAACATAATTTATTCTCAAGACGTGCATATCATCCCATAGCTATTTATCTTTTAGGGCCCTAAGCAACAATCACGATGTCATGGGCCTTTCAAATAAAAAAAGTTCTGTTAATATCCCAGCTACAGTATGTTTTACTCCACTTTGGCGTATCGTTAATGGAAAATCCTTTGTGTTCTACGTATTTATTGTAAAGCCTAATTAAACTAAACCAAACGGGAATAGGGAAAACAAACCATTTTGTTAGTGTAAACTATATTTTAAGAACAAATAAAATAAAATCTATGTTTGTCTAACAACTATTAGTCTTTGTCAATGTTATCTTTTCAGTATAAATCTTTCTCATAGGTATATATCCATTCAATTGAACTTTTCCGTAATAGCAAGTGTGTTTCAAACTTATTTTTGTTCCTATTATGTACTATATATCATATGCAATTCTTACATAATGGCAAGGTAGTGCAATTCGACAGTAATGTTGATTTGGAAAATCAGTCCTGCATACTGTGACAGAAAACTGTTTTTTTTAAATACTGTGTCAAGTGCACAATTAATAGTGAACAATCAGTATTATGTGTAATTCTGTTACAGTTTATTTTGGATTGATTTTCTGACTTAAATACAATTTGACAAAAATACGCAAATTCAACGCAAAATAGCAAAAATCATAATGTATGTACATTAACAAAAATTATTTTTTCGAATTGCAAACCTGATGTTTCATAAAAGAGATCATATATAGAATACAAAAGACTTTCACGTCTAACCACAAAACAAAACGAGTAATTGCTAAAAAAATAATAATCATTAGTATACTCCTCCATTACATTGGGAGTTCAAACTAAGATCTGATAGCCATAAAACCTGAATGATCTTTTATTTTCCCTCTAGCAGTGTTTTTGTGAAAACCCTAATTACGCATTATTTGTGATGAATGCTACTGATTTATTATTTAATGTTTGATGCTACTAATCTATGAAAATCACACTTTCAGTACAGAATTTAACAAAAACATAATTACAAGATCTCCATAGTTACTTTGTATTAAGAATGCAAGGTACCCTATTCCTGGTCCATTTACGCCCCGGCACAACAAAGGTGCAGCGCGGCAAAGCGGCAGCCGCTTAAGCATTGCAATAGCTATTGGTCATAAAACTACGAATAAGTGCACGATTCGACATGATAGAACTCAGACTCGGTGTATCGCCGGCACGCCCACGCCGGCGGTTGCTGTTCATATTCGGTGCATGCATAGCGTGTGTTTATACGTTAGGATGTTGTCTACGGATACAGCAGATGAAACTGAGAATATTTCTCCCAATGTTTATATGAAATAATTATTTCCAGAAAAAGGAAAACGATTTGTTAACCGTCACATTGGCAGTGAAGATGGCTTTCTGCCCACTGCCCTATGGGCATTTGAGTCAAAGAAAACGACCGACTACCATGAACAAATGTACGGAAGTTCATTTGAACGATGGTTTGAAGAAACACTCCCAAAGCTTGACGACAATGCCGTCATTGTACCTGATAATGCTGCATACCACACTAGAAAACTAGAAAAAATTCCCACAATGTCCACAAGAAATGCAAAAATTCAACAATGGCTCCTACCAAAAGACATTAGTTGCAATGAAAATATGGTCAAAGCAGAACCTATCCATCTAGTCAGGCAGCACAAATATAAATATAATCTTAATGTTATTGACGAAATGGCTAAAAACCAAATGATAGGCTACCCCCTTATCACTGCGAATTAAATCCCATTGAAATGATTTGGGCAAATATAAAAAACTATGTGGCTTCGAACAACAGAACCGGCAAATTTTCTGACGTGAAAAATTTGTTTTGTGAAGCTGTCAGCAGAGTGACGCCAAGCCATTGGAAAGATTGCGTCCGTCACGTTCAAGAGACAATCTGAACAAAGGTATGGGATCTTGACAATATGATCGATACTCAAATTGAGCCTGTAATAATTCATATTAACCGTTCAGACGATGATTCACGTATTTCCAGTGAATAAAGAATTGTGAAAAGTATGTGCCCTTATTTCTATAAAAATATCATTTATTTTGTTAGATTATTCCAAGATCATTGAGCAAAAATACGGACCTGTAGAATTTCGCTTTTGGGCATGTTGTGTTTTGTCTGGGCGTAAATGGACTGCAAATGGGATTCGTTTGTTTGAGAAATACGTTCTTAAAATGAATCAACTTTGCATGCCTGGCTGCTACTTACTTTCTCAGGCGGTTGAAAAAACTGTCTACTGTTTCAAGCTCATTGGATATTCTTCAAATATTATGCTGTACTTTGCTAGTTAGTCTTTGAATAAAGTCAAGAAATTGTTTTATTTCATTACTTCATGTGTCCGGTCAAAATAAGCAAAACTGAATAAAACTTTTACTTTGAAAAGCGTCGTCGAGCCTAAGGAATGTCAGCAGGTTTGTTTTATCAAATTATTGAGGATCATCCTAACATTTGTTTCGAAAGCTAAGGATAATGACGATCTATTATTGAGCTCTATGTAAAATTGGGACAAGTTTTAAAAACAGTCTGCTAGAGTTTTGGCGCCTGTGCCGCCATTTTGGCGCTTATCTTGAATTCCCAATTTGGGGGATGCTAACACATATGTACTGTGCATTGTACAGCACCACGGCAGTTTAGCAAAAATGCCTTACATACAACAGCCGCGTCTCGGGCTCATCTAGTTAGAAATATATTAATCTTGCGTCGGCTGGAGCCTGTTCTATCGGGCAGTAGGGGCATTTTAACCTAAAAAAAAAAAAATACAATCAATAACTGCATACGAGATTGATCTCTATGTTCCACGCGTGACCGCTTTGCAATAAAGCTACATTTATGTTTTTTATTTTTCTAATCAATCCATTCTAAGATCAATGCTCGCCTGTTCCTGTTCATACAGTGGTTCAACATTTCAATCACCTCCCAATAAAATTTTTGCCAAGCTGTTTAAGACAGTCGGACTTTATTTCAAAATTCGCTTGATTTTTGGGCATTTGAGGCGCCATTATCCTTATGAAGAGAAATACACTAGTCAATTTCTCCAATTTTATTATAGCTTTTTACTGAACAAGATTTTCAAGGCCGTCTATTACGCAATTGTGTGCTAAATTTAGTACGCTAAATTTCGTACAAAATTAAGGATAGTGTTAGACAGAATTTTGTACATAATTTTGTATGAACAAATTTAGTGCTAAATTTTGTAGAAACTGTTCTAAATAATATACTAAAAGTGCGCAGTCGACTACATTTGGAGCAGTACAATGGCTGATATAACCTCAAACAATTTCAGTAGTTGATGTTATCAGTTGAAGGGTACCGGGAAAAACGGCATTAGTCCATTATTCGGCTAAATTGAGCTTTCAGTTTATTTTGGTGGCATTTTAAAGATGCTCTTGCAATCAGCTTCTTAAATTGTAAAAAGGGCCTAGGTTCACAAAACAACAGCTATGAGATTATCTGTGCCAGGGAAGAATGGCATGAGTCCGTGTGCGTGTATGGAAAAACGGCATCAGTCCACATGGAAACAAGAAGACAAAGAGACGTAATGAAAACGTTGCGCGCCACTACCCACGAACTTGGATCTGTTTGTTTTTGTGAACGTTTTCGCTGTTTTACTACTGTTCCTGAACCTGAACGCTGTAGACTTCTTCGTGAATTTAATGAACTAGGAAACACTAATGCACAAAACCCTTATCTTGTGTGGTCTTATCACTGTTCTTCCTGTCATGCGTAGATGCCCTCGAAAAAATGAAGCAGAGTCAAAGCTTAATAATGCTTCATTTAGTTATCGTGTCCGATTGGTTGAAAATGGAATTATACGTGATGTTCCTGTTTGTCTTTACACGGAATTACACTTCGTCGAGTTCGGTACATAACTCATTAGTTGCAACTGGGAAATCGCCCATCGACATGCGTGGAAAACACAACACACGACTTCACAAACTTTCAGGAAACACAAAACAGAAAGTGACCGAGTTTATTAAGAGCCTCAAATGCCGCAAATCTCATTATTCTTTGGCAGATTCGCAAAAAGTTTACCTACCTGAAAATCTAAATATCGCAAAATTACACAAAATGTATTCTATTGGCAAAGTTGAAAACAAGATTTCCTTTGAATCCTTCCGAGAAATCTTTGAAAACAACTTCAATATAGCGTTCGGTTATCCACGAAAAGATACTTGTAGTACGTGTGATTCCTTAAAAGCTGATATATCTTCACTTACCGCTACCTTAAATTCCCACACGGAACAAACTAGGCAGTCAGCAAGTAATAATTTGGAGAAAAAGACACTTGAGAAGACACTACATCAAACAAGGAGTGAGCGATTTTATAGTCTAAAGAGAACTTACCGCAAACGTGCCTCGAAGTTTCCCGCTATCGAAAGTATCACGATGGATTACAAAAAAAACTTGCCCTGTCCAAATATCACGACAAATTATGTTTACTACAGGCGGCAACTAAATTTAATCAATTTTAACATCCACATTCTGTCAAACTGAATCTTTTATACCTACGATGAATCTATTGCTAAGAAAGTAGCTGACGATGTCTGTTCTATGCTGTATACATTTTTTTATAACATCCTGCCTATGGAAGTAAAAGAAATTGCCATTTTCTGTGACTCCTGTGCAGGGCAAAATAAAAAATTTACAGTTATTCGGTTTTTGAATTACTTGGTTAGCAAGAAAAATCGTTTTATTACTGTGAAAGTAATATTCCCGATCAGGGGGCATTCATACCTCGAGTGTGATAGAGATATGAGTCTCGTGAACCAAAGAGAATACACTGAGGTACCGGATGACTGGAGAGATGAATTGATAAATTGCCGTGTGAAACCTACACCATTTGAAGTCATTGATTGTGGCAAAAATTTTGATTTTCAAGATTGGAGTACGTTTTTATCGCCGTTTTATCCAACGAAGTACCCCTTTCGAACCCGACCAGTCAGGATGCTCAAGTTTTGTAAACAGAATCCTCTCGTAGTTTTTCACAAATCGACATAAATGGGCCTATATGCTAGTTCTAAATTTGATAAGGTTATTCGGAAGAATCTAAAAAAGACGCAAAAAGATCAACAAAAACGACAAGAAACATTGAGAAAACTTGACCAGGGCCCAATCCTAATTAAAAGTAAGAAATGGAAGGATCTGCAGGATCTGACCAAATTTCTAGAGAGAGCAGATTCCAGGGCATTTTATCAACAGTTAATATATCTTGATCATCCAGAAGACAGCAGTGATGAATATGTCGATGACCCGCCAATAGACGCTTAAAACAAGGGAAAAGTAGCACGAGTCCAGAGTTGAACATCATCTTTTGTTTGTTACGTTACTAGTTTTGAATAAAAGTTCATTTTGTAAAATCTATTTTACCAATAAACACACTGTTTAGCAAGGATATTATTTACGACTTATTTTTTCATCAATTTTACTTTCCAACAAGTAAGTAAGCCTTAATTACCGGTTTTCTCAAAATCAGTCCGGATGGACTATTGTCGTTATTCCCCGGTACCCTTCAGATGTGTTCATCAGTTTCGCGAAAGTCCCCTGCATATGCTGTTCTACTTTAGATTGAAAATTTAAAAGATGTCAAGAGCAGTATGACATACTACTAAACGAGTATGAGAAATATGATTGTTTATATGCTGTAAAAAGCAAGGCCTATAATATAAAAACAGAAAAGCCAAATAAGCTAAAATCAGAATGACTTTAGAACCAATTCGGCTTATAAGCCAGTTGATTCTCCACTAGAAGTTCTTTATTCAGCATATGGAGACCACCCATGCCCGGGTCCCTCCCCCTGATTCATTTTCGGCACCAAATTCATTTATGGCTTCGTTTACCTCGTTTTCTCATGAGGTGGACAGCTACAATGCAGATCCCTGCTGCCGCAGTCGCATATAATATATGCGAATTACGGGATCGCTCCATTTTCTACAATTTTCTATTCGATTAAAGTAATAAAATAATGAAGTAGCAAGCCGCAAAGGAAATTGTGATTAGAATGACTTTGACGTGATAAATAGCAATTAGAAGTTTACAGTTTCCGATCTTGGTGGCAAAGAAACAAGGTCGCGCAGCCTGATCCAGCTTTATGAATGTTGCATTTTTGTAACTAAATGGTCTCGATCTGACCGAGTGTGTTGTGCCGGAATACTGTTGAGTACTAGTATGTTGCAGCAGGTCCTAATCAGAATATTTTGACTGACATACTCAAATGAACGCTAGAAGAAGCAGATGTGATACCTTGTTGTTAAGTTTTGTAACTTTTAAAAATCAGTACTTGATCAGTGCCTCGTGTTATTTGTACTTCGAGTTTCATAGCTATTTTCGCGTTGAGTTTTCATTAGATTTCTTCTTTTAGTGCCTCAGGAGTTAGTTTTTCATTATGCCCAGATACGACAATTGCTTAGCGAGTACGCAGATACGCATCTCATTTACGGGAATGTCAGTGCGTCGCTACAAAAGCTGCTGAACTACATCAGGCGGAAGAGTGGTTTTATTTCCATTATATACAACATTAATTGAAAAATACTATTCTGTTCTTAGACAAATGCCAATCGAAATTCTCCCGGTTACGGTGTTTTCATTGAGGTTCATCGAGCATACTCAGAAGGCAGGATACCAAGAAGAGGGATTGACAGTAGAAGAGGTGACAATGGCAAACCTCGGATAGAAGTCGACCAGGGGGTTCTGGGTGAAGTGATATCGCGGAGTATTAACCCATATAGAAATTATTCTGATGTCTGAGTTTCTAAGAAAAACCATCCTCACGTCTGTAAATAAGGCAAACTCATCTGCAGTAAAGTCAACTCATCGTTGGTTGTCAGAGCGGTCCGTGGGACCTTAGCTCTTAAGTCACAGTGTCAGTTTGTAAGTATGTTAGGTCTGGTAACCCAAAAACCAGACAGTTTTAAGGAAAAAAGGGAAGGAAAGGATAGAAGGAAGAAAGAGAGCAAAGGGGAAGAAGAGAATCTTTTAGGATAGGCAGCGTTTAGGCATTGTTAAAATTTTGATATGGTTTAAAAATATTCGATTTTTTCTAAAGATTCTGTCAAAATGATCCAATTTTGGTTGTTCTAAGTTCACGAATTAATTTTGATTACAGTGCGAGCCGCGGCCTTTTGTGCTTGCGAACTTGCTCGACTGTGTAGTCCACTGACTCACGCAACAGAGGGTTGCTGTGCGATTCGGCTAGGCTATAGCGCCGCTGCGCCTGTCCCTTTACGTAAGGGACATCGAGGTCTCTATGTAGAGTTTCGTTACAGACATACCATGGGGCGTCAGCAATAGTTCCCAACGTCCTGCTTTGCAGAACCTGCAGATTTCGCATGCGTTTTAGCACTAAAACACCAAGCCGCACATGCGTAAGTCATTGCTGGTCTTATGACCACCTTATAGAGTCGAATCTTGTTAATCAAACTTAATTTTGAAGGTTTACATAATAATGGGTAAATCTGTCGAAACGTAATTTGGAATTTAGTTTTTAGCGCTTCTATATGGTTCCGCCAAGTCATCCCTTTGTCCAGAATGACACCGAGATACTTGGCGGAGGATTCCCATGGTATACGAAGTCCATTCATTGAAACTTCAGACGGAACGCCGCGACGTCTTTTTGTACAGTAGATTGCCTGCGTTTTCGAATGGTTAATTTTAATGAGCCACCGATCCGCCCAATCTAATACTTCCTCCACCGCACTTTGCAGCCTGTCATGGACTAGGTCACCAGACCACGACTGAGCCACCAATGTAGTATCGTCAGCATAGAGATAGACTTCACAGTTGCTGGGACTAGGGACGTCATGGATGTACAGTGAGTAAAGGATAGGTCCAAGGACCGAACCCTGAGGGACGCCGGTTGTAATCAGCCGTGTTGTCGTCAGGACATTGTCAATTTTGATCCGAAACTTCCTACCCTCAAGGAAGAATTTCAGTAGTTTTAGAAGCCAAAAAGGAAAGCCCTTTTGGATTAGTTTATACAGGAGGCCCGCGTGCCACACCTTGTCAAATGCTTTTGAGACATCCAAAAGCAAGATGCCAGTACTTTCGTTAAGGGTGAATCCTCTGGATACTCGTTCCACCAGCCTAACCGCCTGTAGCTCCGTACTATGTTCAGACCGAAAACCGAATTGCACGTCAGGAATCACATGGTGATCTGACGAGAAATTCTCAAGGTGACGTACAATCACCCTTTCAGCGAGCTTAGACGGAGCTGACAGCAGGCTAATGGGACGATAATCCTGGGGAAATATCGAACCCAACTTCTTTGGAATCATTATAACTTCAGCGGACTTCCACGCGGATGGTAAGTACTGAATCCTTAGCATGGCATTGACTATTGCCACGAGATAAGTTAAGGACTTCCGCGAAAGCAGCTTCAGCGCCTTATTAGTGATTTGATCCTCCACAGGTGCTTTACGCACTTTAAGGTCTTTAATATGAACACTCATCTGCAGCAACATAATAATATTACAGACACATCACACTCGGTCAGAACGAGACCACTTCAATTACAAAAATTCAACATTCATCATGATGAATCAGGCTGCGAGACTTACAATCATCGCCACCAAGATCATTGGACATACATAAATCCACTAAAGTTAATTCGAAGCTGTTTTTGATAATTCGTATACCAAGCATAGTAACAAAATTGGGTTTCAAAACTGAACCAGCTTCGAGCAAGCGGTTATGTTTGTAGGTTAAAAAAGTGTTTTGAGTAAAAATGCAGGTTATGCATAACGGCCAATGGTGCTCATTACACTAATATCTCAAAAGTAAACTTTCCTACAACATCAATCCTGTCAATTTTTTGTATCCAAGCCCAAAATTGTTATTTTCTGTATCGACGAAAAGTGATCCTCCTTCATTATAATTGCAATAAAACGAAAAAACAGCAGAGGGCGAATAACAATAATATCATTCAAATATTGTCAACAGTTGGACAACTTAAACGACTAATTGGCACAGTGATTGTATTTGTCCTTCCACTCTACATGGTGTCAAAGTCAGACGTAAGAAGGAGTTTTAAATAAAATGTAGACTTTGGCAAGACTTTTCACTGGGTTTTCCGGAAAATAATACTGGACGTAGAGAAAATGCTTAATTCTGCGTGTTTTAAAATAAAACTGACCCAAAAAGTTGATTTTTGTAGCAATGGCACGGTATTAACTGAATATAAGCCAGTCTGTAAAAAAAATTGAAGCTGAAAATCTCGAAACATATAAAACAAAACTTTACCATCTAGTAGGTCATGACGAGACCTATCTACAGTCGCAATTTCGGAAGACCCTGTATAATGAGAGATCTGTAAGAAGTAACAACTTGTACGCAAACATATTCCATAAGCCTTGTGATGATTCCATGCACTTCTAACTTGCTTCGGACACTTCATGTATCAACTGTAGCTCCAACTGAATTACTCTAAGGAACGCAAAAACGCAACTGAGAAGCACACTTATCCATTTCTCAGTAATTTTTTGATACGATTGGAATGATAGGTGCCTTTCTAGACCAATTACCGACAGCAGTGCTAGCAGCAATTGAGTAACTAGCCAGGTTGCCGTCGCTTTGGAGACAATGCTTGTGTTTGAATACATGTTCCCAGTCGAGTTGCCATCGGATTGCGGTCGTGTTGTGGGTGCTACTTGCTTCCGGCGAGAACAGTCCCTAACCCCAGATTACGATGCATCAAGTACTTGAAAAATATACATTTTCCCAAATCACTAGAATACTTACTTATTCCCACTGCACAATTTGTTTAAAGCATCTCGAGATATAACGTGGCCGCATACTAGTCTCATTGGAGGGTTGAACTGCGTTGATTGTTGCCTCAATATTGGACAGGCGAACATCGAGTGGTATTTGTTTTCGTTGCCTAAATCAATTTCAATCTGAAAATAAATGCTAAATCTCACCATTTTATCCGAACTGAATGCTTGCAACTTCGGAGAATGGGCTTTCTCACAACACATTATTTTTGCATATACTTGACAGGCAGACATTCATTTTTTTTGCCCTAGATAGCAAGAATATGCTTGCACTCTATCGGTTCTTTCCAACAATAAATTCTTGACAGTCCATTTCCAGTTAAACAGATCAGCTCAGCGCGTAACCAGGCATTATATCTAATATCATTTGTTGGTGACTGTCAGAAATACCTTGTTGGAAATAACCGTATAAATAATGGGATGGGGCGAAGGAGGGCTAATCTGGAACGCTAGAAGTAGATGGCAGTAGTTAGGATGGCGGTCATGTCTGAGGCGAAGATGTGATTTGCACCTGTAGTAAGCACTTACAGAACGGTATCGACTGACGACTGTTGGTGGCTGGTACCACGTCAATTGATTTGCTATCTGAGGAGACATGCATGATCTCTAAAAAGGGCGCCTAAAACCAGAAGCGACGGAATAGCGGCGCTCTTTTCACATAATAAACCAATCCATTGTAGTATTAAGTCCATTTTTCACAAACTGTTTTTAGTTGACTTCAATTTAATGCACTGTAGAGAATGATGGTATCGTCGGCAAAACTTACAATTTTTCCAGCTGTTTGGATTTCGTACAAATCATTCAAGTATAGGTTATTTCTTCAAAATTACTATAAAGTCCATGAATACTAACGCATTGTTTTCTGTTCTGTAGGTAACTACTAAACAGCTTGTGTGCTGCTCCCATACTCCTATGAGCCACAGCATCAAGTAATTGATCAATCGCCGTTTTTAAATCTAGAAATACATCAATGCAAGGTGTGGTACTATCAATCCGCTGACGAATTTCTGATGAGACTACTTTTATCGCATCTTATGTTGACTTTTCACCCGAAATTCAAATTGCTGATTGGCTGGAGGCCGAATTGACCTTGGGGCATGGGCAAGAAGACAGATCCCTGATATTAAACTAGGATTGACAAGGGAGTGATGAGGATATAATACTGTATTGTGTAATGCACAGTTCCCTACAGGACATACAGCAGACGTTCGATAATGTAAACTAATTTAATCCAAGTGTGGTTCACATTATCGAAATGTTTACATTAGCGAACGTGATTTATATAATATTTGATTTATTAAAAGAAACGTTTAATACATACTATTTATAACAAAATTAACAAATATTCTAACAGCGATAAGTATTTTTTAATTAGAAGAATTTTTTTCTTAGTAAATATGCGCTTAGCATTGTCTTCCAATGTCTGCGCCCGTAATTTACGAAGAACTAAAATATCCGTGTATGAAACTTCTTTTCTTTCAGCCCAATCTAAAGCTTGGTTAAAAACTTGTATTGCTTGCGTCAATCACTACACTTCTGACTTCAATGGGATCGTTCTCGTCATCCTCACTGTCCATATCCTCTTCCTTATCAGCATCACTCGTCTGCTTATCTTCGTTCCATAAATTAATATCAGCAGGAGTACAAACAATGTTGGGATTCACTGTTTTCAATAAATCAACAACATCCAATGACACACTAATAACATTATCATTGTTGGATCGCAAACGTTCTCTAATTACGCTTAAGGGGACATCGTCTTCTTCATCATCTTCATTATTGGTACAAAAGAGATTGTTAAGACATTTTTGAATAGTTTGCTGGTTAAGTTCATTCCAGGCAATATGTAAATCTAAAACAGCTTCTCGTAATGTTACTTTTTTAAAGCCTCAGATAAGTTTTCAGGATTCTTTGATAAGACAGACGAAAGTAGAAACTTCCTATAGTATAGTTTGGTGAGTCTTATTATATTCTGGTCCATCGGTTGAATTAACGGTGTTACGTTGGGCGGCATGTACATGACGAAAATTGACCCATCCCTGCTCCTCAGTTGTTGCTCTGGAGGATGGCTTGGTGCATTATCCAATAGTAACAACGCTTTTATTGGAAGCTTCTGTTGTTTTAGGAAACTCATCTTCAAATTATGAATAGAGCATTTGTAATAATTGATTGTCATACCTGAGGGACAAAGCACCTGTGGAACCATATACTGCTAGTCATCCAAGCGGTTTTTGAACAGTCATAATCAACAGGGATATTAACATTTTTAAATGAGCGCGGATTTTTTGCTTTCCCAATTACCAGTGGCTTTATTTTGTGTGAACCATTAGCATTAGTGCAGGCTAGAAATGTTATTCGTTGTTTCTCCGGCTTTCTTCCCGGTGCAGATTTTTCAAATGATGCAGCATAGGTTTTCTCTGGTATCATTTTCCAATAAAGGCCACTTTCATCTGCGTTGTAAATTTGTTCCATTCTTAAATCTAGCTCGGTATTTGTTTTCATCAATTTTTCTTTGAATGGTTGCACTAATTGTGGTTGTGCTGATAATTTTTCACCAGGTATAGACAGCAGTCGAATTCCATATCTTGTTTTGAATCGTTGTAGCCAGCCATCACTAGCTACGAAATTTTCAGTTTTTCATTTAACAGTCTCGCTCTCTGTTTAAGTACTTCGCCACTAACTGGGACATGATTTTTCCGTTGTTTTAAAAACCACTTATACGGGGAATTTTCCATTTTAGATGCCTTCGCATTTTTTAAAGTTTTTCTTTTTCGCGGACCTCCAAATGTATTGCACGTTATTTGTAAAATTTGAGTTTTCATACGCTTAATTTTACAGATTGTTGCTTTCGATACTCCATATTTTTTTGCTAACTGTGTCACTCCCGCACCTAGTGCAACTTCGTCTATGATTTTCACGTTCTCATTAACTTTAAACACTTTCTTTTATAGGATGTGGATGCCATAGTCGTAAAATATATTAACGCGTGCAATGTATTCACTTAAGTTCAAAAATGAAATACATACGTACGTATAAACGTATCCTAAACGATCAAACGACTGACCGAGTTTGTCGTATTTTATCGCAGAGGTGAATCCCCTACACTCTACATCATAAATCGGGGACTCCCCGACGCCCAACATAAATCATCGAGGCTTCAGCATTTTACCGTCGCGCTGTTTCCGTGCGCCGAGAGTTGTTTACGTTATCTAGCGTACACATTGTTTACGTTATCGCGCGTTCCGTTTGATCCTATAGAACGAAGTTTGTGTTTACATTAGCGCAAGTTTTCATTATCCAGTGTTTACGTTATCGAGCGTCTGCTGTATTTGTTTTGAGTGCTACCCGAAGGGGGTAGGAAAACGAAACAAAGCGAACTGAAATACTGCAAGCATTACCGTGGTGGAATGTGTGGCGAACGAACAAGGGGTTTCAGTGAGAATGCCACTTCAGGATAATCACACAGTTCGGGCACGAAAGCTCGACAGGGCAATACTGATGAACTTCTCTGCCTGAAAGTGGCTATAAAAGCTTTCCCCCGCAAAAAAAAATAAATAAAATGCAGCTGTTCACCTCAACAAACGTCCAAACATGATAATGTATAGTGAACATTGGTTACCTTTATATCAAATCTGTATTTTTCCATCTACTTGAGTTTAAAATTCCGTACTCATATTGATGACGTCATTATCACTTTTCATGTGGGTCTAGAATTGCGATCGCATATGCATTTGATGGATTGCATCGAAATGCAGGAGTTTATAAATGGAAAAAGAAATTTGGGACAAGATGTGTTGTATCTCTCGCAGTAGTTCGCATTGGTGTTTGTGTGACGCTTAAATATCAGATTGCTATTTGAGGGCATTGAACTATGCCAGGAAGATGCCATCTAGGCAGGATGGAAAACAATTTAAACGATAATAATTACGTCAGCAAATTTAAACGATTTCCTGCCGCGAAAATTTCTTGTATTTTATTCCATTAGATGGGTCCTTAACACTCGATGCTTCTGACGAATGATCTCATAATGGGTCACTTAAGTTTGTAAAAAGACCACCACGATGATATGCCAGTCAATATTTGTACTTTGAAAAGGCAACTATGGTGTCCGAAACGGCAGTAAAAAGTATGTCTGTGGCGGATAGTTAATAAGTTGATTCTTTCGACTTACAGGTATATACAATCAACTTGAGGCTCTTTTACCAGGAGACTAGACGAATTTGAGTCCAACCATCAATATTCATTGTGATTTTAATGACCTTTCCTTCATGTGTCTACTACTATAATTTTACTGAATCATTCTTATAGCGGTCCTCTCATCCAATATGTAAAAACGTCATCAAGACAGAAAATATATATTTATACCCTTACACAGATTTAATAAATATGTGGTTTCAGGATTCATTTGGCTAGAAAAAGATGGAGTCCTATTAACATGGAAACCACAGGATAAGTATCAGGTCGTTACATCGATGTATATTGCTAAACAAGGTATTAGGATGCATTAATTGAAATTTGAGAAGAAGAAACTCAGGCCCACATCGGAACTCGACCCGCGTATCTTTTGCTAGTCAGACGGACATTCAACTGAATTTACTGGATGTATATGTCGTAGCGACATCGTAGAATTGACCACTTCATTAGCTGATCGAGCATTTCATGAAATGACCAAGTAAATCTGACCTTATCGTTAAATCGGCAACGTTCATCGATTTGGTCATCCACGATTGACCAATAGGGTGTCCGCAGAATATTTAATAAAAAATCATGTTAGGAACTCGATTATTGTTGTGTAAGTACGACAAACATTTTTATTAAAACTAGTAACTTTAGGAAATTAAAATATAATAATCAGATTAAAACGTCCTTAATTTGCACAACGCGTCACAAATAAAATTTTTGAAAATCACAAATTAAATCACTGCCACCCTATACTTCATTTCACGAGTATCCATCACGGTAGAATGACAGCTGATTATCTAGTAATATCTCAAACTTCCCCATATCCGCACAGGACACATAATCATGACCGATCCGTCAACGTCAGGTAGACAGAGCTGAATTTTGTATTATTTTTTTTTGTATGCTACAGATTCATTTTGTTCTTGCTAACAGCTCTTTTATTTAGAAAAGTTCATTTGCATACAAAAAAAAAACAAACAAAACGCCACAAACAAGTTTTACTAGATTTATACCTGATCTATTATTACCAATGTTGCACACTAACACAAAAATGTGTTTGTCTGCAACCCTACTACCATATTTTACGAGTATCCATCACGCTTTGACGTCTACTGTGGTGACCAGCTCATTAGCAAGTGACATCTTTGTGTTAGTCTGCGACGTTGGCAATAATGAAGCGGGTGTAAATCTAGTAAAACTGGTTTGTTTTAAGTATGCAAATACATTTTTCTAAATAAAAGAGCTTTTAGCAAGTACAAAATGAATCTGTAGCGTACAAAAAACAAAACAAAACGCGGCTCTGACCACCTGATATGGAGAATTTTGAGATATTAGTAGGTAATCAGCTGTCATTCTACCATGATGGATACTGGTGAAATAGGATACCTAAAAATTAGTAGTAAAGTATTTTAACAATACTTTCTTCCTCACTTGGTAACGAGTTGTTTGAATTTTCACTTCGAAAAATAACTGTTGAAATGTAAATAAACCGCTGCCAGCGTCTCTATCGGTAATTAATGTAAATACTGTACGATTTGATCAAACATGTAGTAGTCGCGCGTTTAGTTGATCATATTGTCAAACGATTTGTTATCAATGATCAGGTCAACGCACATCATGATCTGGCCAATAAATAATAATAAATTTCACGCTCGTTCATTTCATGAAATGGCCACGACCTATTCACGTGTCTGCTTGGCCAAAAAGACGCGCGATTCGAGTACCGCGAAGCAAACTGTATTTTCCATATTTTTTAAAATTTCAAAAACCTAGGTTTGTGTTTTAAGGTGAATCATAAAGGTGCGTTTTTCTCCATGAATATGTTAATCAATGTTTTCACTTACTGGCAGTTCATCCTTTCCGCTCCATATCCCAGTGACTTGCCGCTGCATCATAACTTGTTTGATGTTATGCAAGGCAGGTATCGCAATGCATCCGGCATTAATACAAGTGGTGAGAGGACTATTGACGCACACGCCGAGCATCTGACAGGCATCACGCATGAACAGCTCATAGATCTCCATCCACATTTCGGTGCCTAATATCGAGCCATATGGAGACGCGTTTATACCATTGGGAATGTAGAGTAGCATGCCCATCAAAGTTTGGATATCTGGAAGAAAAAAGGAAATGTAACTGAAAAACATGGCGCAGAAGTCTTCTTCAAGGTCCTTCCCCACTATACAATGGCTTACAAGGATCCAGCTATGATTGTAGCGTAATTTAACGCTTTTTGTGTTGATTTTAATTCAAAATATATACATGCTAGCAATTATGATTCCTTCAACTAACTGTGCTAACGATATAATAACAAATTGAAATACTGTTTTGTTGCTTATGGTTTTCAGCAAGTTATCAATGAAGTTTCTAGAATCAAGAGGAATTCCAATAGTCTATTAGATCCGATATTTATAAGTGATTCTAGAATTTGTTTAAATTCTGGAATCATGAACATGGATTTATTCACGGATCACTGTTTAGTTTTCTGCGAGACAACCTTTACCACCAAGAATCCTAAACAAAAATTTATCATATACAGAGACTTCAAAAACTTCGATTACACTCACTTTCAAAATGATTTGGTTAATTTTCCATGGAATAACGTATATGATTCAGAAGACATTGATGAGAAAGTTTCTTTCATAACGGATGGTATAACATTTGTTTTTCATAAACATGCTCCCTTAACAACTATACGTGTAAATACGCCCTATGCTCCGTGGTTAACTAGGGATGTTAAGCTAATTATGAAAAAAAGAGATAAGTCTTTAACACAATTCAAACGTGATCAACAACAATAGTGAAATTCCTAACGATTTGAGAGCCCCAGTAAAAATAAATAATTATTTAACTTGTATTTTTAGTAGTAATACAAATTACTGTACGGGAACAATTCATTTTTACGAGTCAAATTATTATACTCCTAATAAATTTAATTTCAAACCAATAGATTTTCAAGATTTGCACACAATATTCAAATGTCTAAAATCAAGTGCCTTGGGGATTGATGGAGTATCTCTCAGGATTTTAAAACTCTGTTTTCACGTTATGTCATGTCACATTCTACACATTATAAACAAGTGTTTGGAAAATAGCGTACTTTCCAATTTACGGGAACGCGCTATATACGCTATTTCACGAGTATCCATCATGCTTTGACACCTACTGAGGTGAGTAGCAGATCAGCAAGTGACATTTTTGTGTTTGTAACGTTGACAATGATCAATCGGGCATAAATCTATTAAAACTTGTTTGTGGCGTTTTGTTTTTTGTATGCAAATGGACTTTTCTAAATAAAAGAGCTGACCGCAAGTACAACATCAATCAAAAACAAAACAAAATTCGGTTCTAACTACCTAACCGATAGCTAAACATAATGATCTCACTTCTTATTCTGATTTAAGACCTATAAGCATCCTACCCATATTATCAAAATTATTAGAAAAAGTGATGTATATACAGAGAAATGATTACACTGTACATTCCGAAATACTACCATCTAAGCAATGCAGATTCAGAAAAGTGTACAATACTGCAGGAGCATTATTAGGCTTAACAGATAACATCATAAAGGCCTGGGATCAAAATTTGTCGACATCTTTAATCCTTTTAGATTTTATCAAAACATTTGACACGATAAATCATTCAATTTTATTAGCTAAATTTAAATATTACGGTTTTTCTGACTCAACAATTGGTATGATCAATAAGATCTCAAAAAGTTGTTTTTCTTCTTATAATATTCTCAGGAGTGCCCAAAGGAACAGTGCTTGGACAAAATTATAGTTGCAGAATCTCAAGTAAATGATGATTTAAAGGCTATTGATAATTACGCAAAAAGTCATAACCTCCGTTTAAATCCTACAAAATCATATTTTCTCACAAAAAATTAAGGGAATATATTAAAAGATATACAAACATATCTCTGGATGGCGAAATTATTCAAGAACATGAATCAGTTAAAAACTTAGGTATTTTTATTGACAAGTGTCTAAATTTCATTCCACATGTGAATCATATTACAAAAAGTTGTTTTTCGGTACTTCGCCAATGGAGAAGTTTCGCGTCTATAAACAATTCGTAAGGCACACCTGTGCGCTCGTACACGTGGTCTCCAGTTGATAACTATTGAGTACTGCGTAGGTTCATACCATTATGGACGCCGCATGTGAAGGTACGTAGAAAAATGTTTATTAGGGGTTGTAACTTATGTGTTCGTATATTTTGGAACGGTACAGTATTTATAACAACCTTTTTTCTTATTTCGCTCATAACCGATCGTATATGCAGTCAACTAATTAAACAAATTGGGGCGGAAGACGTTTAGCCTACGAGGGTGGTCCCAGAAGTACCCGACCCAACGAAGAACACAAAAAATTTGTAAAAAAATGTATTTATTTTTCATCATAATATCCTTTGAGCTATACACTTTTCCCAGCGATGTTCAATAAGTTCGATACCCTTTTTATAATAAGAACTGTCTTGTTCCTCAAAATAGCCATTAACTGCCGACATCACTTCTTCATCGTTGGAAAATCTTTGACCACTGAGCCATTTTTTCAAGCTTGGAAACAGAAAATAATCCGAGGGGGCTAGATCTGGTGAATAACGATGACCAATTTTCTCCATTTTTACAAATTCACTGAAAACGTTCAGTATTGATGGCTGCCAAACAAATACTAAACAACGTGGCGTCTTCAAACTTGACACATATGCTTTATAGGTTGCATACTTTCTAATACAATGATATTTTTCAAACAACTATCGCCTTCTCTAGGTCAGGCCGGGTACTTCTGGAACCACCCTCGTACCATGTGTCCCGCTGTATGTGTGCCTATGCATGTGTTTAGGAGATTGAGTCGGCTCGGGCCCAGGAATCGGCCGCGGGCGTTGCAACTGGATACTGAAGTCTGAAGTCACACGTAACGTACAGACGGAATAATAATATTCTCATAGCGCGCAACTTTGATGGGCTGTAACTTTTTTGTTTTTAGAGATAAATTAATAATTCCTTCACCATCTTGTTTAATTTTTCTTAGACTTTCGTTTGGGCTAATAACAAAAAATGGTAAACTTGTCCATTGTACCTCAATAAACAAATTTTAGACTACAAAACTAAGAAAATTCTATGCGAATCATTGATCATTTCAAAAATTACAGATTGTGATGTTTACCATTCATTTTTAGATTCGCTATCTATAAAACGCTTGCAAAAAAGTCAAAATTCTTGTTGTAGATTAGTAGAAAACTTGAAAAAGTACGACCATATTTCGATACCTTTTTAAAAACTAGGATGGTTGAATATTACAAAATTATATAAATATCACTATGTTATGTTCATAAACTCCAAAATACCTCATTACCTCCGTTTTTAAAGGAAAAACTACTAAATCGTATGTGTGTTCGTTCTAGAGATATTCACTTCCCAAATAAACTCACCATGCCTATCAACAGCACTTCATTTTTCCATAAAGGCTTCAGCTTTAATGCGCTCTACCTATATAATTCATTACACCCTGACATTAAATCTTTAACATTTGATAACTTAAAAGATATATAAAGAATCTACTTTTAGAGTGCCAAAATTAAAAATAATTATCTTTCACTTCTGCTTATAAAAGTAGTATTTATTCACTTATGAGTAATTATACTAAATATCTATAATACTTTAGATATATTATATCTTTTTGTCATTTATCCGTTTTATCCATGTTTGTATTTATTTTTGTATGGGTTAAGTGGAGGAATATCTTAAGCTAAGCTTCGCCCAAATAAAAATACGTTTATTATAATATAGAAATTAGACATCTATGTCTACAGAATTACTGAAATGGAATGGTTGCCATATGCATACTAACAGAACACAGTTGTTCTGGTTGATGTGACATGTTGGACACAATACTAACATGAAACAGTGGGCAAATATCTTTCATCAATTAATGTCGCTGGTAGGGCCTATGCTCTTGGTTTAACTTATGTATTACATGGAGGGAAGAAAAAAGGAAGCAAGAATGAAGTTGAATAAAGACAGTCACTTGGATCGGTGCCTTGTGAAAAAAATCACCTTGCAACTTTCAATTCTGGTGTTGAAATCAGTTTTTTAAGAGTATCCAACTTTTTTATATGGGTCAAGATATTCTTGAGATAGTATGCTTAGAATAGGGTACTTTGTTATTGTAGATACCTGTTGCATACAAACCTTTTTCATGTCTCCTAACAAATTTTCTAAAATGTGTCCTGGCATATGAAATCGCCTCAGTCTGGTACAAAGCACCCTGTTTCAATAGTTCAATGAACTTCAGTCTGGAAAAAAAAAAGGAAAACTAATTATGGAAATATCATTCAATGCAAGCTAACATTGTACATTTGGAAAAATTTGGAACAACAGTCATACAGAGAACAAAACTGTTAACTGTTGCTACTGTGATTTCACCAATTTAGGCTACATTTTATATGTTATATACAAGAAGACTATTTTTTACTCAAAGCCTAACATCGAATAGACCTCTGTTTATAGGTATGTGCCAGAATGTCAGTTATGTACATAATGTGATAACTGTGACTCGACTCCAATGGGTAAACAGTGTGTGAGCGGTGATTTAGATACTCAGGCATTGGACTGTCAATCACCAATCTTATCAAAATCTGTATGTGAGTGAACACCATAAGGATTAAAATATCACCTACCTGTGCAACATGAATTCTAATGACGAGTTCTGTGCTTCTAAATTATCATGGTGAGCTGTAGCCCAAGCTAGGGCTGGTTCCAAGTCTTTGTTTTTCAGACGATCCAAGATGTGGTTTAGTTCTGTAAATGGCTCTTTCTCGTGAGGTTCTGGAGTTATATCTGCCTCTTTTGCTAGCTCATCAGCCACATCATGCATACCTTGTCTTAAAAATTTCAAAACTCTATTATCTACTCCACTAAAAATAGCAATTTAAATATGTCATACCTGTAAAAGTGTTGACATATCACCTTGTTGATCAAATTTATTTTCTCTTGACCTGCAAAAACATCTTCTCTAGTTGTTGCATTGAAATCTGCTACAAAGTTTCGATCAATTGCCTTGCCCACCTTTGAGACTGTGCTGTGCAGATCTCTGTGATCTGTGGCTAGTTTTGAAACAGTCTCTTTCACTTTGGCTACATTATCTTTTAGAATGCTGATTTGAGTCTCTGACAAGGTGTAGTCCTCTCCAGCTGGAATTTCAAATAGGTTGTTTTATCCAAAAAATAGCATCTGCTATATAAGGAAAGTTCTCTGAAGTTGTGAAATTAGATCTGGCAATATGTCTGTGTTGCTCTGAAGGACAGGAAACTGATTTGATTAATTTCATGTGTTAGATATGAGACTGTGTGATATGAAAATAAATCGGTTATGTAAAATAGTGAGTATGCTAGAATGAACATGCCACATGTTTCACAGTTTCAAGTATTAGATATTACTGTGACTGTGATATAAATTAAATCAGTTATATAAAATAGTGAGTATGCTTGAGTGAACAAGTCATTCACATATTTGAGTAGTTAAAAACTGCAGTTTGCTTTAGGACTAAGCAGTAATGTATGGATTGGTAGAAGACTAAAACTTTTGGTTAAGCCATGTTTGAGCCACAGGTTGAACCAGTGCGATTCAGGTGTCACAATGTGATTTTTGTGAAACAAGTCAATGTAACAGTGAAACTTTGTGCACAGGCTGTGATGACATAATTTCTGCACTGTTACACATTGACCTATCTAAGCAAAAGTTGTGGCATATTAACTGGGTGATCCATTGCTTAGCTTTAATCAAGTAAGAAAAAATTATAAAGAGAGGTTGGATTGTACATTGAATATTGGTTTAGTGCTTAGTTGAATGTACCTAGCTCCCTATGTCAGCATATTACTTGACAATTATATACTATTTAATACAATGTAATATTAATGCAATGAATGCATCATCATTATTGCATTATTTTAAATGATAGTTTTCTTTTCATATTTTTCTTTTTCAACTTATTTAATTACACCATTTAATAAAATGATATTTGTTTCAAGTGCACTATTTTTTATAAGGTCAATTATTATTGTGGTGTTAAATGAAAAAGCAGACTAAGTCTGAATTTTTCTACCATGAGTATGCAACAAGATATTGTTTCACTGTAAGTAAAGACATTTTTATTAATAATAAATACATGCCATCATAAGTCTAATATCCCCCCATTCAGATAAATATACATTGAAAACCAAATTTGTCTGATGGCTTGAGTTCAATGTGTATGAGAGAGGAGTGTGTATAGACACATATGTTAGAAAGAGATAGAAGCTGGCTGGATAGAGAAGCTGATCACCGTGTTGCCTAGCAAAACTGATGTGGCAATATGCCATACACATTGAACTCAAGCCATCAGATGTACTTAGTTTTCCCTATAGATCTTTTCACAGTTTTTGGCAGGTCACAATGAAGCTGCAAGAGTGATGCACACACCTATCTCCCTCACACATACATATGCAATCCATATCTATGCATAGGCATTTTTGTAAAGTGTACTCAATGCTTTTTGTTTTTGTTTGCAATACATGTCTTCCACATTGTTGATTGTCACTATCAGTAGCATACTTTGCTTATCATGGACATGCAACTTGGGTTTACCTTTTGGCAATTTTCTATTCAAAACATAGCAATTCTTGAAGGTACAACTTCACCACAGTGAGTGGTAAGTTTTATGGAGTATTCTCAGCAAGAGAATGGAAACTAGGATCTTCTTTCACTCAATCCATGTCTATGTGTGCAAGAGCAAGTAGCAGCTGCTTTAAGGATCATGCTGTGCAGATTGCAATTTCCCTTGGGGCAGTTAGGCTCTGCACATGGTATAGTTAATCAATCTATTTACTTACTTGGTATTCAATTGTGATATAATTGACACAGACCATGAAAATACCTATACATGTATTTTTACATAAAAAAGTTTTGATCAAAGCACAGATAAATCTAGGTACAGCAGGAGAATCACTATCATAGGGCAACATGGAGCAGATCCCAAGCTTTAAGATGCCCCTTACAAATCAAAGCTCTAGTATTAAATGGGTGGTTTGTGTATAGCAATCCCTAGTTGGCACATGGGCTCCAGAAAATTATTGTCTATGTCCCATTGAATATAACTGTGCCAGTAGGGTTTTGTAATTAATAGCTTCTGTGATTGGGGTATTAAAATACAATGGGTATGTATATTGCTGTGTAAGCATCATGATGGATCAGGCTTTTCCTATTCATTGGTATCATAGGTCTAGAAATCAACACTAAAAGGAACAGGAGTCTTGTGAGGATTATATATTGCATCTCGCAGGTCCTAATAACTCATGATTAGCTGTATTGTACCAAAATTACGCATTTAAGGAGAACATCCTTTGTTTGCTGAAACAAAAGTACACGAGCATGATTCTACTGTAGTTACCAGTTTGATATTCCTCCTTGAGATTTTGGATTTGTTTGATCAGATCGGCAAGAACTCGTTTGGCGTGTTCGTTGATGCCACCAAATTTTGAGAACACCCTGTCTACTTCTTTCTCCACTGCTAGACAGGCTTCCATGTTTTGTTTTCACAGCGATTTTTCTTTATTTTTATTTTTGGATGCCCGAAAATACCGACGTCATCGCTGTCACTTAATACTTATTCGATTTGTTCTGTCCACGTTCTGTCACTGTCACCTTGTCATTCGGTATTCCGTATAGGGATGAGAACTACTTATTTTCACAACAACAGATCACTGCTACAAGGTGACCCAAAAAATGTTAGAGGGGATGCAGAGAAAAAATTAATTAATATTTAGAAAATGATAGTTATATAGAGTTTATGTCTTTAGCAGCGATAAATGGTCGCCAAAAGTAAAAAAACTCCGCTGAGACTTTGTAAATAGTTTCTATTTTTGGTTGTTTCCCTTAGGGAACAACAACTCGCTATATGCAATGCTAATAGCGCATCGTCGGGGCATCTATTTAAGTTATTGTTTTCACAGTTTGCAATAACCAAGATCCAAAAGGCCAAAAATCACTTTACAATACATACATATACTTACGATATAAATGATTTTCTATTTTTTCTTACGATATCGGCTTTCGATTTGAATATGGATAGTGGGGGCGGGGTTGCAGCGGTGACCACAGGATCATGAGTAAGGAAGGTATTAATTTGTCTCAGGGAGGATGGTGGAGGGATCGGAGACTAAACATTGAAGAGCAGGGAGGGTGGCGTCTGCATGCTTAGGTACTTAAGCAAGGCATTTGAGAGCAAATGCCCGTGTGACAGTTGAGCAGCGTAGGGTGGGATTTGATTCAGGTCTGGCAAGGTAATATTTTCACCAAGACAGAAATGACTACCATTCTCTTGAAAAAAAAATGAGAGACTTGGACGTCTAGAGGGGGGCACGCCCCCCCTTGTCCTCTTTTAAGTCCATCCTTGAAGTGCAAAATTAGGAGCTGTATCAGGAAGCAAATCATATATTTATCTCTAGTACATTTTTTTAATGCTAGGTTAACATTAAATTAGCAGACCACGCATGGGTACAGCGGAAGCCGTCGATATTTTTCATAACATTTTTAGCCAGGGCTTACGGGTTAAAGGAAAAAGCCGATGCTGTTATCTTTTTAAATCGATGTTCTAATAGTAGGCCTTCATTCACTCCTTAATTTTCCCCTGGTTCAGGAGGAAAACTATAATAGGTAGTATCGAACATTTAGGCATAAATCATGGTCTGCTAATTTAATGTTAACCTATAGGTATAGCACAACATTGAGTCAAAAAATAAAAGCTGTGACTTCTTTATTTAGCTTATCGCCAAGTCTTTAGTTCCCACTAAAACTGTTATGGCAAACATTGATCGTTTTGGCTGTCGTCAGTATGCTCTATTAACTTTTAGTGTTACCTAACAGAACTTAGATTTCCAGAAAAATCTGACAGCCTTGGCTTTTTGCTGCCACAACCCTTAATTATATCTAAATTATGAAGTATAAAATCATTCTACTGTTACTTTTGCTTTGCCAATACGTTCACTATGGAAGCATTTTTTGAAGACATTTCCTAAATGAATTTAGCAGTCACATGTGTCTGGTATCGACGATACCGGTTATAAAATGAACTGTAATTTGTAAGGGTGTCTTAAAACTAAAATTTATATATTATAGAATACTTTGTTGAGCGGACACTTGAAAACAAAACACTTTAGTCGCACATATGTATATTGGAAAACAGTTAATGAAATACCTACCATAGGCAGAAGTTGCGTTTTATTTATAGGTGTGTAAAAAGAACCATATTATTACTATAATTTATTTTACGTTCTGTTTGAGCTTGAACGTATCCCATTAAAATAAGGAACACATATTACTGGCCTATTTTTGTAGTCTGCTCAGAACATAATGACTTTTGTCGGCTTTCTCTATTAGGCAAAGTTATACTCTTTTTCTCGAAGCATACCCAGAGTACATTCGTTTAAATTCATACGTCATTTTAGGAGTTAACAATTGCTGCACCAAATATAATTTCAAAAGCGGTTTCCCACGACATTTTAATCCTTTTCTTAATGTGGCATGATAGAACGATATTTGGTAGCTGAAATGAACTCTATTAAAAATTTAAGTTCCAGTTACCTGTATCCGGTAACGCACAGGAGTATTGATGTATTCGTTCAGTGCGTTACCCTACATATTCAACCAAGCTAAAGAACCGCGGGGAACGGGTATTACGTATCTTGAAAAGTGACATTATGTCGATTTTTTTGGCAGTACATTGTTTTTTTGTGACATTATTTAGGTTTTTCTACAAGATGTTAAGTTAGCACTATCTGATGGACACGTTGTTAACTTGTTTTGTAGTTGTATGTGTTGCCTAAACGTCATGATGTTTCAGTTATCAATGTTTGGCTCTGATGTGATGTAAAATCTGCTTCAGAGATGACATTACTGGAGGTCTAAGCTGTGTAAGTTGTATTACTAAAGCTAGAAGGAAACGGCATAGTGACGATTTGTCTGATAATGATATGTGTTGATGATAATTCCATTGGATTCTTGTCTCAAATACACTTACTTGAGATTCAAAGCCAGAAATTCGTTGCGCATCCACTGTTTCTTATCCATTCTGGAAATTACATATACAAATTTGCTGAATTTCAAAAACGAGAGAGAAGAAATAATTATATTCACTGTACACTGTCGAATTACAAGTCAATATACATGCTAACAGCAATTAAACACAAAGCGGGCGCGGTGGTGATTTACCTTAATTCTCTTAAACGTTTTTGAAATCACAAAAGAAGGTAAAGAATCGTAATTTATAACTCTGAACATAACATGTCTTCAAAAAGAACAACATATAATTAACCCGTCGAGCACAGCTAATAGATATACTTCATTAGCAGCATATTCAGTAACGATTTTCTCACAAAGCAAATATCACTGATTTTATACACATGCAAACCAATACACAATCATCCAGATGCGATCTTGCTATTCAACCAACTTTGTTCTCAGAGATGAAAACTACAGACTACTCGGCTTCACAAAACATATGCAACCAGCAATGCATGTAGTTGAGTTATTCTTCCATAGATGGACTCTCACAACGATCCTAGTGAGCAAACGTGGAACTTGGAATGACTGTTTGCACCCTAAAAACTACCTAGTCCGCCACATGACATTTTATGAGTTTTTTTGATATTTCATAGGTTTTTACGACTTGTAGTTTACGAGATATAGCTTTCGCCGCTGGATGAAACATGGTACAAGTAGTTTTCGCCGGATTGGAGTACGCATACCAGTCTGCTCATGTGTGTGGTTTGACAGTAACCGTGTTATCGGACGCAAATAGGACTTGTTGGTTTTTCAAATAATGGTGAATATACTTGCTACATGTTAAGAGTTAGTAGCACATTCACCATTCATTTTAATTGGCTATAAACCGGCACGGGTATTATGTATATTGAAAACTGATATTTCGTCGTTTTTTCGACATTTAAAAGGTTTTTTTTTGACATAACGTAGGTTTTTCTACCTGTTAATAACTTAACACAAGCTGCTGTACACTTGTTGTGAACTCGTTTTATAGCTGTACGTGTTGCTTAAACGTCAGCGGACAGCCATCATAAGGAGCAAAGGTGAAATGAACTATTTGCAGACTAAAAACTATCTAAACTGAATCCAAATTCAAGATGAGATGTAAATAATAACAGTTAGCGCGTGATCTCTCGGTAACAGGTGGGGACAACGCCTCTTATTGGTCAATTCGCTATTAAATTTCAAGCGGTCGCCTGGCGGAATAATGCGCGGGGCAGGGGCAGGGGGGGCGGAGTTGCATTCAGGCCACCGACCGTCGCATGTATCACTGAGTGCTCGTGATTTCGTATTCACCTTGCTTGGTTGTTGCTGTTGTTGTTGTTAAGTGTATTTGAGTAATTTGCTAAGTTTCTGTTTGTTATTGTTATTATTTGTTTTGAACCAATCCTGAACATGTCCAGTACAGATACTTCTACGAGGCTGTAGGCTACTCTCTTAGCCCTCCTGGAAAGCGATAAAAAAAGACATCTTATCGTAGACATGAAAGACGTCATATTGAATACATTCAAGGTACAGCGGAAGGAAGACGAAACATCAACTCACCCGAAAATAGCTCTGAAAGTGGCAGATAAAATTGGGGTATGCCAAGCGACAGTGTACAATGTTTTGGACGAACATAAGAAAAAGCATGCCTTTTCCAAGCCAATGACGGGTAAAAATCGCAAAAGTATCATAAGATCGTTGGATGACGCTGCAAACATGCGATTCGGAGGAAAGTGCACGAGTTCTTCTTCAGAAACGAAATACCGACAGTTGATAAAGTATTACGGGAGGTTAACGAGGATGCTATGTTACCAAATTTCAAACGTTCGACTATTCATAAACTTTTGAAGCATCTTAATTTCTAACGGAAGAAACGAGGTCGTAACAGCTTACTTATGGATAGAGAAGAAATTGTTCTGTGGAGGAGAGAGTACCTGACCAAAATTAAATCATTCAGGGATCAGCACAGAAAGATCTATTACCTGAACGAAACCTGGATTAACGCTGGGCACACAACTCCGAAGGCATGGGTTGACAAAACTGTGACTTCATCCAGAAGGGCATTTTTAGATGGACTGTCGACCGGATTGAAAAATTCAGATAAATAGATCGAAGTAGTTCACGGTAACAATTTTTGCGCACAATATCTCTCTATCTTCGTACCTACGAGACGTGCATGTGTACTTCGAGGATTTTATCTTTCTAGGCAAAGGAAAAAGGCTCATTATTTGCCACATTGGGGGTATAGCTGGCTTCGTGGATGACGGCTTATGGTCTTTTGAGTCAAAAAAAACACTGACTACCATTAAGAGATGAATGGGGAAGCATTCGAGTGGTTTTCAGGCATTTTACCACGTCTCGAAGACAATTCTGTGGTTGTTTTGGATAATGTTCCCTATCATTCTCGCAAAATAGAAAAAATCCCAACTTCAGCTTCTAAGAAATCAGACATTCAGAGCTGGCTCCGTTCCAAAAATATAACTTTCGACCCTTCCTTACTGAAATTACAACTATTAGATATTGTGAAACAACACAGACCAATACATGATAAATATGTCATATAGTCAACGCCAAACAAAGTGGCGTGCACGTCATCACGATAAAAATTCCCCGACCTAATGCCTAGGTTTCTATCATAAACAACTGCTCTATTGCAGTTTCATATTAATGTGATATATAAATTGTAAAATGGTTATTACTCTCTTATTATGGTTAATAGTCATATAAACATTGTTATTAAAATATCACATAAGTTGCTTTCTGATAAATTTAGACGCATTATGCGAAATAAAATGTTTTGCAAACGCTCCAATCACTTATCGACATGTAAACGCACTAAACCGATTTCGCAGCGTTGACACATTGTCACCTTGAAACTTATTTAAACTGGGAACTGACATTTGTATTAATTTTGACACTGAATCAATTTGTGGCATTTCAAATCTTTATAAATCCTTTGGCCCCGCATACTGTAAATCAACAACTGTTTATTTCAAAACAAAATTATTCATTTTACGAGTAGATAAAGACAATTTTGGTATATAAAGATGCCCAAACAGTTAAATAGTCGGTGTAAGGAACTCGTGGCCCCGTTAATGCACTACTTTGAGCAAGAAAGGGACAACAACGGGCCTTTGTTGCCTTTAAATGCTGTTCAAGAGGTAGGTTACTAATAATTATATGTAATGTATATTAATAATAGTGAAATTTTATTTCATTTTTTGTAGCGTGTTGCTGCTGCTTTAAAAATTAGTTTAAGGACAGTTAGTCGTATTTCCGAGGGTGTGAAAAGTGATGCAAATTTAGAATCGCCCAAGAAAAAGCGGAGTTATATTAAACGTGTAACCAACACAGCGACATTGGATACAAGTGCCATTCGAGAAGTGATCTATAATATGTATCACAAAAGTAAGATCTTATTATAATAACTTATCAGAAATTTGCATTAATTTGTTAACTAAATTATAATGTCATATTACACATGGTTTCAGAAGAACAAGTTACGATACAAACTTTATGGTCTCGATTAAGAGATAGGGCATTATTTGATGGTAGTGCCACGTCTTTAAGGCGGTTGCTTAGAGATCTTGGATTTAAGTGGCTTAAGGACAATCCGCGACGAGGGCTCATGGAACTACCAAGTATAGCTTTGAAAAGGGTGGAATTTCTAAGGCAATACAATCAAGCCAAGGTTGAGGCCTTATACCAGTTTGTCTTCCTCGATGAAACTTGGATATTTCAAAATGGGACCATAGGTCGCTCTTGGCAAAATGGAAACCAAAAAAGCGTGAAAGCTATTAAAACAGATGGTAAAAGGTATGTACTTTTACACAATTTGCACTATAAAATTTAAAACTAATATATTTTAGATACATTATATTACATGCTGGAAATGAAAATGGGTTTATTGAGGGTAGTGAAGCGATATTTTCTTCGAAAACAAAATTGAGCGATTACCATGGAGAGATGAACCAGGACAATTTTTTGAAATGGTTTCAACATCAGTTATTAGAAAAATTGGAGAGTCCATCTATGATTATACTGGATAACGCCCCTTATCACAGCATGATATTGAACAATGCATGGACAAAAAAAAATATCCAAGACTGGTTGACAAATCAAAACATACCATTTTTAAACACAATGTTTAAAACAGAGCTATTGAGTATTGTTGCTCGGTACATAATGCTTCTTAATTATATATATTTTGGTCGACAGTTTATATTTCTTTTGTTTATTCCTATTCTTAAAATAACTGCTTTTTTAGAAACAAACCACCTAAAATATACGTGATTGATGAATTGGCGGAACAACATGGGCACAAAGTTCTTCGTCTGCCTCCTTACCATTGTATATTTAACCCTATTGGGTTAATTTGGGGCATAGCAAAAGGTTACTATAACAGACATATTGGTAGAGATGGTAACAGTGAAAAAGACTGTTTGGATATGTGGAACGAGGCTCTACAAACGGTTACCCCAGACATGTGGAAAAATAGTGTTCGACATACTGAGCAAGAAATTTTTAAATGGTATGAAAGAGAACGAATTTTTGATCGACCAGACATCGAACCTTTAATAATCAACTTTGAGAGTGATGAAGATTCAGATTCAGACAGCGCTGAAGAAAGAAACTCCGACTAACTTTATTGTACAGAAAAAGCTTACACCAGTACCTTACCTAATTTTTCTGTATGAATTCTGTAAAATAAATACCATGCATAAAATTTGGAGGACCCCATTTGGATTTTTATTCAGTACCTTTAAGCTATCAATTAAATATGGTAGTTTCATAGTGTCATCTGATCAATAATTGTCATACTTAATGATTATGCAAGTACAGATCTATAATTTTATTATACTATTATTTTTGTTCTCATTTGAGGTTAATATTGCTTATAAACCTAGATATGTAAATAATAAATTTTATTATTTTACAAAAAGTTTGGCAACAATGTAAATTTTTCAACACACCCACCTTGATGACGTGCACGCCACTTTGTTTGGCGTTGACTATAGATGAAATGGCCAAAGCACACCACAAAACAGTACTCCGTTTGCCGCCTTACCACTGTGAGCTCAACCCCATTGAGCTCATATGGGCAAATGTTAGGAATTTTGTTGCTGCACACAATATAACATTTAAATTTTCTGTCATGCAAGAGCTGTTCAGAATTGCTATACACGAGAAAGATGGCAAAAATGTGTGCAGCATGTTCAGGAGAAAGTGGAGGTAGCAATGTGGGAGATGGACAACATAATTGAGAGAGATTTGGAATCCATCATCATAAACATTAATGACGATAGCTCTTCAAGTGAGTCTGAGTAAGTTTCGCGTTTTTGTTTTGTCACAGAATACTTATTATGGGAATCCTAGTTATAGTGAAATATTAACTTACAGATAAACTACAGACAATGCAAGTCCGAAGTGCACCTTCAAAATCTATTTTCAATTGATTGAACAGCCTTATATTTATTCCATGTACAAAAGTGTCATCTCTACCCCTCGTTGACTACGGATTAATTGTGCATAGTGAGCAGCTGGTTACCTCTGGTATGTATTTTTCCATGTTGTCTAGTTTGAAAAACCTGTAGTAAAACTTAGCATCCTTTCAAGAATAAAAATTTTATTTTGCGACACCCTTAACTATAACTACTTCACTATATTAGATAATTTCGTTAAATACTGTCATCTTTGTTTTACAACACGTTGGTGGTAGTCCATCATTCGGAGGTAGCCCTGAATACGGCCCTGTACGCCATCCTTGCTTTTGGTAATCACGCATCCATTCTATCTTGGGTGTAAATACACTATAGTCTGCAAAATGATATTTCTTTGTTTTTTTTTGACGTTTTTTAAGTTTTTTACGTAATACCACATTTTTTATGACATTAAATAGTTGTTTTTACATTACGTATGTTTTCTCATAAAATGTCACCTTTAAGTTCGCTAATATGCACTTCATGGTCACTTGCCGGGGCGTATCTAGGGCGAATCTAGTTTGACTTTCGAATCTCTTTGATGAATTTGATATAATTATGACTTTTTGCATCTACAGTGCTTTTCTTTAATGTCCTCCCCTTTGATTTTTTGAACGGATGAATTCAAAAAAATTGAAACTTCGGGTAATGAAATTGATGCGTGGATACCACATTTTAGAGTAAAATTGACAAATGAAAATGTCAAGATGGCCGCTGGGCCCCATCTTGGAAAAAAATTATATGAAAACGGGGGTCTTGTAGCATATCATTTTGAAGCTCCTGACAAGCACTTTATAACCCTAGAATATAAAGTCAACACCTTTACCTACTTCAAAATGGTGGTACATTTAATAGTTACTTGGACACAAACCCATTAACATGCATATCTCTACAAATAATTGTAATTCCCTGCCGTATCCACAGCAACAGCGATAAAAACTTGTTTTGTTATTTTTTGTTGACAGTGACAAGAATATCAGTACGGAAACAAACATCATTGTAAAGTTAAAATATTCTTATTTAGTTTTCGGTTTTAGTGCTAGATACTGTTTGAACTATTTTTAAAATGGACAAATCTCATCCATTGGAAGAAAACATGGAAGCGATTTTTATTTATGGTGCGAGACCGAAAGGATTTTTAATGATCGTTTCCCGAATCGTCCTTTCTGAAGAAAATATTTAAGGGAACTTGTATCTAAATTTACAGCTACTGGTTGTGTAAACAACAAAAAGCCCCCAGGTCATCCGACCATCCCGGAAGAAAAGCAAGTTCAAATAATTGGTGAGATCATAGTAAATCCAAAAAGTCTACTTCCTCCATCACGAATGTGTATGAGGTTTGTCCTTCTACTGTATGGAGACTTTTGAAGAATAAGTATCACCCATACAAAATTCAAATGGTACGTCAGCTAACTGAAGATGACCCTGATCGAACAACAAAATTCTGCGAGATTATGACGGAAATCATTATACTGCATCCTACCTATATCCAAAATATTTGTTTTAGTGATGAATGTACATTTCTTCTCAACGGTAATGTGCATAGACAAAATTGTCGTTATTGGAGTGACACCAATATGCTAGACAGACTGTGTCGATGGCAACGCGGCAAGCGTAGCTGCGTCCGTGGCCTCGTCATTCGGGTTGCTAGGCAACATGTTGCATCTATATCTTTTTAACATACGTACTGACGCTTCTCGCGCTTCCCTCACATCCATATTACGAGATCAGTGGTATATGGATTTCTCTCTATACCACTTCATGTTTTTGACACTTTTTATTTGTAACTTAGCATGATGGTATTGCCTTAGTTTAGTCATTTACAGGGTGCTGTGTTAGAATTTAGGCGATAATATAATAAAACGAAAACAATTAGCTCGTTTAGTAAGCCAGCAACGGACTAGCCATACATGCAATATATTGCTAATTTTTTACACTTTAGTGTAATACTGGCTTAAAAATAATACACTGCCACGCAAAGTAACCAGACAAACAAAATTTTGTTAAAATTGAATTTTAAATAACTTCTTAACCCTTGCATCAATTTCGTCAATGTTTTCGTCAAGTTGTTATACAGGGTGTAACTAAAAGGTGCATTTTGCCCTAAATTTCTGAACACCCTGTGGAAACAATGGATTACTGAATAATGTGTCTTCGTATGATAGTTTTAAGCCTCAACTATTCTCAACAGTTCTTTATTTGATTCATCTCAGTATCTCGATTATTGAAGAATATGTTTCTGTTTTGAAGAAAATCATGCAAACCATAGCCATAAACAACAAATTGTTTCAAGCAGGCTTTGCCTGGAAAGAAATTGTTTCAAGTAGTCTGCGTCTGTTAGCATTTTTATGGCATGTTAAAAAGTTTCTTGTCAAGCAATACTCAACAAAAATGACACCGGAACAAGTAGCGCAAGCTGTAGCTTTACAGGATGATGGTGGTCCTATTCGGTATATCGCAGAAAGGCTTGCCGGTCCACTCAGTACGGTATTCGATGCGATAGAAAGATTTAGTGAAACTGGTTGTTACTCAACAAGACCTGGGCAAGGAAGACGGAAAGCAACAAACGCAGTTGAAGATCGGTTTCTGAGACTTCAAGCACTTCGAGAAAGGACAGTTTCAGCTACAGCTTTGACTCGAAGATTGGATGATGTTCATGGTACCATAGTTTCACCTGATAACGTACACCGAAGGTTGAGAGAAGGAAACCTATCATCTTGTGTTCCTGCTACAGGTCATCTATTGATGTAGGTCATCGAAGGCAGTGCTTGGTATTTTCTCGAACTCATGCAGATTGGGATATGGATGACTGGAAAAACGTGCTTTTTGCAGACGAGTCTCGTTTTACGAGATATTCACCTGATTGTCGCCAAAGAGTGTGGAGAACGCTAGGCTCAATGTTGTTTCGCTCCTAGAGTGCATTCTGGTGGTGGAAGAGTGATGGTATGGGAGGGGGTATTTCTTTGGAATCCCGCACAGATCATGTTTCGCTACGAGGACACCTTACTGCCGACAGGTACATTAGAGAGTGCTGGTTCATCATACAGGTATGAACTTTATTGGAGAAAATTTTCTCCTAATGCAATATAACGCTCGGCCGCATATAGCCAGAATAACTAGGAAATAGCTCAACGATGTTGGAATTCAAATACTGGATTGGCCGCGAAGAAGTATTTCAACCCAATTCAGCACATGTGGGATACATTAGGAATAAGGCTTAGGCAGAACTATGGAGAATTTCAAACTGTGGCTGCGTTGGAACAGGCGCTAGTAAACGAGTGGGAGCAAATATTCCAAGACACAATAGCTGGTTTAATTGAGTTTATGCCAGAGAGGATGAGAACTGTTATTCAAGTCCGGGTAGGAAATACTCGTTTTTGATAACAATTTTTAATTACCAATGATGTCACAGAAATTTTTTAAGTTAAATTGTTTATGGTTATGATCCGCATAGTATTATTATAAATGTTGTCACTGTAATTTTTTTAATTAAATTGTTTATGGCTATGATTCGCATCATTTTCTTCAAAACAGCATATATTTTTCAATTATTGAGATATTGACATGAATCAAAAAAGAGAATTGTTGAGAAGAGTTGAGGCTTAACATTTTCATACGAAGACACATTATTCAGTAATCCAATGTTTCCACAGGGTGTTCAGGAATTTAGGGCAAAGGTTAAAAAGTTATTTCAAATTTAATTTGAACAAAATTTTGTTTGTGCGGTTAATTTTGCGTGACTGTATATTTTTGGAAATTAGAACATCCCTCGATAGTGCTGACTGTTCCATCTACATCAATGTAATGCTACCTGCGGTTATTTCAAGAAATTTATTCGTGTTTAATTTCGATAAAATCAAAGTTAAAGGTTTTAAAGAAAAAATGTCCGTGGTTTTTTAGGTCTCTGATGACGGATCTGTTATTAATGAGAATTACCAATTACCAAATTTTCAAAACGGGGAACCATAATCGAAAACGGTTCCATAATTTGTAACACTGTACCAAAATAATAATGCTGTTTTACTCCAAAACCCCACAACGATTCGTCATATCGGAATCCCCCTGAAGACGAATATCCTCCTGAACATGAACCTGTGACTCCCCCATCGATCTGCTGGATCCGCCTCCGTTCACTTGTAGTAGGCAGAGTGAAAGAGCGGCACACCTGCGGCTATCTAGTGCACAAGTTGACATTTTACCGATTTTTCTGACATTATATAGATTTTTTACGTAATTATTAATTAAGTAAAAATATCTATATTTTCTAATAAACGTTGGTTTAGAATTGATTGGAAAGAAACAGCTTGTGTCAGGCAGTATGGCACTACAGCTAGCTGTTCCATGATTCTACAGAACTCATCGATTCAATTCTATAAGGTCATTTGTTGTTTTCTGAGCTGCCTTCCAGTGGTTTTTGGTTTGAAAGTGATGTGCTCCCGAACTGTTCTAGAAAGTGTGTATGGGAATACAAAGTACAGTGGAACGGTATTGGTGTTGATCACTACTGAGTCATCAGAGTAACTCCGAGTTACTCAATTGGGTCACTAGAAAGAAAGGGTCACGCCCTCAAAAATCACATTCCGAGCCATGGATGGTAGTGGTGATGGTTATGTTGATTTTAATTTCATTTCATATGGCTAAGTAAAAATCAGTATCTATGGTATGGCTTCAAGGCAGTGTATTTCAAATTAGGCTGGTTGGTTGTGGGAATAGAACAGAAACCAATAATTAATATGTGGTTGACAGAGTTTTCTAAGTGCCACACTTAGAAAGAAGAGAAAATAGTGTCATGTTTCTTAAATTGATGTTTTATTATTATTCTTACAAAATCGAGAAGTTACGGTGTACTTCAGAAAATAGTTTCTCAATTTCATCTACATTGTAGTTCAGATATTTCCTTTAATTCAATTTTTGTGATCATAAGTCCAACACTGTATCACGTCAGTAAAGTGGATGTTTTTGAGTGAACCAAGAGACAAACATGATAGGGATTTTAAAGAAGTGCATTAGAGATTCAAAAATCAACAGCTTACACAAAAACGTACGTAGCACACTTTTAAAACCTCGAGTCGGTGTGCTCTGAGACTGAGAATGGGATTGAGGAGATTTACAACGTCGTGTTTTAACAAAAACGTTACTTGTTGCAGCTGTTACCTCCTAGAATTTCCTGTATTTCCATATAGCTCTTACCTTCGGTTTTGGGAACAAACCAATATACAAAGGCGACACCCAGCCCACAGACTACTCCAAAAAGAATAAAAGGCCAATACATTCCTAAGTGATGAGTTATCAGAGGAAAACCGAAGGTCACTATAAAACATAATAGAGAAGCGAATGTGTGGATCAGAGACACTCCTAATGTTTTAACGTCGTCAGAAAACAGCTCTCCTGCTAGAGCTGTGGCACCTATACCTATACCTATACCATAAAATAATACGTAAGTTAGAACACTTACAACAGGTAACCATGCAAACTGATCAATATGGTTTAAATGGATAGATTGCAAGTAAAAGTATATTCCAGTCACAATGATACTGATGCAAGAACCAGCTGATGAAATTATCATCAGACATTTTTTCCCGAACCTTTCCACTAGTACGAAGGGCAAGCCCGCGACAAGTGATCTGACTACACCCCACATTACTGAGACTAAATTACCAGATAATCCCAAGGTATTGAATATGGGACCATTGTATGCTATGATTGCAGGAGCTCCCGAGCATTCTTGTAAAATCATTGCGCCAAAACAAATCAAACAAGCTTTTCTGTTGGAGGGAGCCGTTATGAGGGACTGCCAATTCCTTTTCTTGTTATTGGCAGATGAATCAATAGTTGCCTTGATGAGAGCTAAGTCTTTCGATACGTCGGTTTTACCTCGAAGCTTTCTCAGAGCGTCTACAGCTTGTGTCTCATCTGTTTTCGCTAAGTAATACGGTGACTCTGGTATAAAAAACATTAGAATTATACTGACCACCAATGGTGCAACACAGGCTAGTGTATATGGCGTTATAGAAAAGAACATACCTAAGGCATAACCGTATAAAAATCCTGATACATGAAAAAGTATGAGTAAGCACTGGAATTTGCCTCTGTTGTGATCCTCCGTAAGCTCACTACTATAGACGCTTGTGACTACAATGCAGTAGAAGAGAAGTCCTCCCAATATTGTTCTCAACGCGTAATAGGCATACAAGTGTTTTGCAAAAGCAAGTATCCCAAAAGCTATGGATGTGACAACAGCCAGTATTATTGACGTTTTCTTTCTTCCTAATATATCACAAAGTCTTTCTAGCAATAGTGGTCCAAGAATGCCTCCGAAGTATGGAAGCCCACCTATTAACGATTGCTGGACAGGTGTGATTGGTTCTTCTAATGGGTTGACATTGGTGTCGTTAGATAACAGCTGAGGTATAACTGGAGATGACCATACCAGTGTAGTGCTCGAAGAAAACAGAGCCAAGTTAACTGAAAACAAATCATACCTTATTTCAGATTCTCGTCTTGAAAAGCTCTTAAACTTAATAACAGAAACTGACTGACCTTAAGCCGTTTTGTTGCTGATAAATTCTTACGCATCACACAATTATAATACAAATTTTGAGGTTTTGGAGATTTTATGGACAGATGAACACTAAAAATCTACTTTTCTCACTCAAATTTTGTATCAAACTGTACTTTCGCTGATTTGTCTAAGAAACATTTTTACAATGTTGTCCACGGACCTTTTTGGGAACTTAGTAGCCGAGAATTTTGAAATGACACATCCAGAAACATATATAATAGTGACTAGGGCAGCGTGATTTTTAAATTTTAAGATTCCCATCAAAGTAATGTTTTTGCGAAAAACATAATTTCTTACTTACCAGTTAACAATGACCCATACAAATAGAAATTGAATCCATGTTCCTTCTTAACGTTAATTTCGAGCATTATGCTTGTGAGTAGGAACAAGCTATTCAATTTATCTCTATCTTTTGCTAAATGTTAGCATTTATACTCAGTGCAAACCAAACATGTATATCTATGTTTGAACGACTAAAACTAGCTTTGTTAAAAAATACTGTTTGGTAAGACCATTGTCTGTGGTAGACTAAAAACCTTTGTGCGTTATGAAATTGAATAAACAACATACTACATTATAAAATGAAAATATTCTTTCTCGTAGGTCGGCACATGGCAACGATCCCATAATAAAGATAACTAACAGCTTTTGCGTGTACTAATTTATTATTTTTTGTATTTTTCCAGGGTTAATTTTTCGAAGAGCAACATCGCAGCTCCTACACAATGGATAATATACAAGATCGGCAGAAGATATTGAGGTCTCGCATATGGCGAAGTCGTATCGCCAAGTGTCTGTGGTTCTTAAGTGGAAGCAATGCATTAAGCGTTAAGCATCCTGTATAGCCGATATGTTACAAAAAGCTTTACAAAGAGTGACATTTGGATGAAAATTAAAGAAACAGACGGGTACAGAAACAGCTTACTATAGATTCTTAATATATTACTTCGCGTTTTTTTTCAGTGTAGTAACTGTAAATAAAACAATTTTAAATGAGAATATTTTGATTGGTTTCAATAAGGTAATCTTGCTTTACGATGTCCGTATCGGTTGAACTCACTGATAAATGAAAACACGTAGGAATTTGTCCGATAGTCAAAAGCGGCAAACACTCTATTACCGAAAATTACCGGGGCATATAAATCTTCAAAACATTTGCCAAAGCCTCTGAGATGTCGTTGTATGGATCACTGTACTGCCAAACGAAGAAACTGTCTCACACAACGGTGTCATGCGCACTCGCTCAACCATATCTAACTTGGTCGAAATCTCTCCATAATTGTCTCATGTTCGACAACATATGTTATACCAAAATTTTAAACAAACTGGAACTGTTTGGATTTAGCGATCATTTTTTACATCTTACCTAAACAGAAGAGTACAATTATTTGTCCCTCACAATGGGTTTTCATTGGATACTCTCAGATCAAATCTGGGTCCGCTACTTTTACTTCCCACGCCTACTGGTGAGAAAGTATTGTAATTGCGAAATGATTCGAAAACGAGATATTATGTTTTTTGGGTCTTATATGACACATACATCATTAGAAACCATGTCACTGATTTCGGTCGGTCTGTCGGTCTGTCAGTTTGTCTGCCCGCTAATCCTTGGCCCGTCTATAACTTATTACGTATCTTGAAAAGTGACATTTCGTTTTTTACATAATACCCCTGCGGGTCAGATTTTGATGAAATTTTTCCAAAAGGTTACTGTTTTGTCAAAGGCGTAAAACCTTTGTAGTTTTTGAAAATCGGTCCAGTGATCATACTCTCGTCGGACCCTATTATTTTTAGAGAAATTAAAATCTTCTTTACACGTTCGTGTGTACCACTTACAAAAACGCTGGGTATCCCGTGGTCTATGATATCTATTTTTACGCAAAATAAATTGGGCTGTGGATTTTTCTACGCCTACATTTTTCTCAATTTGTCTATTTGAAATCTCAGAGTTCTCAGCCACTGCTTGTAAAATAGAATTTCCTATAAACATTCATTTTTTCGAGACGTAACAGACTTTTTGAATTAACCATACTCACTCACATTTTTAGCCAACTATAAGAAAATGGGTATACTTGACTGCGTTCTTTCGGTAAATTTATCAAGGTACATGCCTGCAGTATTTTCAGTATTTTTGTTGCACAAAATGTAGCACATCAACATGTCGAACTTTTCTTCATTGCTAAAATGACCGCCTGGCATCTTTGACGATAATATACCTCGTTTTGCCCCCGAAGGGTATACAAACGAGTATTTCAGGTCATGCCTAGGCTTGACCCTGTTGTGATAACTTTGCGTCCTACGCCTAACCATTCGCCGAGTTCTCACCCCCTGCTGACCTCCAGGTAGTCATGGTGCCACGCGAATTTTCTGCAGTACCTTCTCAACTGCAGACGTCAACGACTCATTGGGTCAAGCCTCGTTTTTATACGCTTTCAGAGACTGTGCCGTCGGCTTACCCTGTTGAGATACGTGTTTGCACTCTGACGACGCAAATAATTACGAAGCGTACTATGATAAAATAAGTCAACAGGAAAATACTTTCATTGGAGTAGGTAACTCAAACAGCTTATCCTTATAAAGTAATACTTGTATTCCACATAACAGAAACTTCAAAGTTTAACTGATCAGTCTGAATTCTCACAAGGTGTAAATAAAGAGTCAGTATATAGTATATGGCACTAGTGTACTATGTGGATGAGCTATTTCTTTGACATAAAACTTGAAAAAACTTGTACTTCCTTTCTAGTTCCCGCACGTAAAAATACGATTCAATGGAATGTCGTTAGCCCATCTCGAGGAAGCAACTGGTGCTCTCGTGCTTCCTGGGGATGCCACAATTCCTGCCTGATCTAAAGCCGTCTTGATCCATCCTGATGTGACCGAGCGAGACGATTTTTTCTTACCGTCGTAGTTACAAACAATGACGAAAGTCCAGACAGCGCTTTTCTGCTATCTTTAGATACCTCTACCAAGGTTTTAATCCAGAACACCGGATCAAACACTTTATCTTTACTGGAAAGTAGCTTCCATTCAGATTGCCTATACTTGACCTGAATCTGATTCAAAAACCTCAATACCTTGACTGATATCCGAAACTTAAAGTAAAAGTAAGGCCGAGCTTCTAGAAACTTGAAACATGCTACGCTTATCTATGTATATACTCATAAATCGATCGCTTTCAAAATATGCTGAACCAGGGGATACCCTGCCTCGCCTCAGCTTTGTACGGGTTTGCCATCGAAGCTGTTACTGATTTATGTACCTTTATTGTAGCTGGTACCTGTAGCCTCCTCTCTTGAAAAAGGTAGTTCAAATACCCTACCGCTTCTTCTCCTTGGGGATCATTGAGCCATATCCCTGTTTAATTGCAATAATCTGACCAACTTTTCCAGGGCGCAAAGTATGTATTAAATGAGGACTGGCACCACGACTTAACTATTGACAGCCCACCATGAATTTTCCAAACTTTCAAACAAAGTTGTTGAGCCCGAGGCGGTGTAAACCCCGCCACCATGTTCGCCAAACAGTGCTGAAGATCTCTGATCTGAAAAGGTGGTGCTACTGCTCTTTTCTTGAGATCCGGATGTCAAAACACTTTCTCCCACCTCGACACTAACATTACATATAATTCTTTCGCAGAATTAGGTGACTCAGTATGCAGGTATTAACGCAAGAGGAAGACATATCCAAGCCAGAGGGAAGTTCCAGTCCCTGCTGAACGCATTTATGAAAAGTGTTTTCTGGTTCTTGACATCCAGGGATACATAAAGGGAAACCGCCTTCGCTCGATCTGACGCAGAAATATCTATCTCTGTGAAACCCCATTTCTGGAAGATAACATCCGTTACTCCCTTCGACAAATGACAGTCCGCCATCTGCTTTCCCCGTGATAGGTTGTCTGCGAAATCATTTGCGCTCTCCTACAAATGTTCAGCTTGAATTAACATCTGTTTTCTGCTTGCAAGCAACAAGATACTTTTAGTTGGTTTGAGATGTTGTGATCTGGTGCCACCTCGTCCATTCAAGTAAGCTATAACTGTTTTATTGTCGAACTAAAAATAATCGATTTGGCCTGCAGCTGGCGCGACCATCTGTTTAATGCTGCATAAATCGCAAACATCTCCTTCCAATTGATGAGCCAGAACTGCTGGCGATGCTGCCATAGCTGACTGTGAGAGAGATCATTTAGATGTGGCCTCCACCCCAGGTATGACGCATCCGTCGTTAGGAAACCCTGAGGATTTCCCGGGAATAGAGATGATGATGCCAATAGCTTTCTGAGCTACCATCGACACTCCTTTATCACAGACGGCGGACTGGGAGCTATTTCAAGGTAAGGGATTGAGGAAGAAGCCTGCTCGCTAACTGTATCTGTCTGGAATACAATCTTCCTAGTGGGACGGCGTATGCAGCGATATTTAGCATGCCTCCGAGTTGCTTTGTCATCTTCCAGGACCCTTTTCTCTCCCTGATCAATCTTCGAGGTAAACCACCACTCAGATGCCCTGCTCTCGTAACTGACTCGCAACCCAGTTGGAGAGCTTGGCGAAAACTTGGGGTGCCGTTGCAAGGGCGAAAGGAAGATTTGCCACTTGGTACATAATATCTTCCGAAGGCATAACTACAAAACGACGATGAGGTTCCTTTACAGGTATATGACAGCAAATCTGCGTAAGGTCTATTTTTGTCATAAAGTCGACCTGCTAAAGAAAAAGAGGAACTTTGACCGATCCTACGGAATTTTCTTGGTGAAAGGTACTTTGTTCAGTCTTCTCATATTGAATATTGGGCTTGAAGATCCATCGACCATTGGAAACAAGAACATCTTGGACAAAAAGCCACTTCCGTGTTGTGCAGGTTCTCCGATTCCTTGTTGTCTCCAAAGATCTCATACGGTTGTTCTTTTAAAACGGCACAAGGGGAGGTTTTGAGACAAATGGGATCGAATAACCTTGAATGATGCTTAAAACAGCTTGAGGCGCACCCAACTCCCTCCAGACTTGAACAAAATCTTGTAATCTGTTGCCTGCGAAGGGCGTCGAGCAGAGGTCATGGTCTCTTGGCGAAGTAACTACTTTTTGATCCCACCTTTTCGGATTGTTTGCGGGAATATCCGCTTCCCAACGAACCTGCATCATCAGCTTTCGAGTCACGCTTTGATGGATCGTGCTTTAACTATGTTTTTGTTCGCTGAAACCTAGCATCCCTGAATGACGTTCGATGCTGACAAATAGCTGGATGCCACATGCCCCTGACTTTTAGAACGAAAGGAATCATTATACTGGTGGTATAAGGAAGCTAGTTTTGCCGCATCGAAAAGGTGAGAGGGTGGAGGAGGAATTTGGTTCAAAAGTGTCGAAACATAGGCATTTCTAGGCTACCAATTTTCTTCTCGTTTCGATAACTTCCCCCTTCGGCCACAAGCATACTGCAACAGATCGTCTGATAATGTCCGAACTCTGGAAGCTTGACTAAGGAATGTCTTGCTCAAGTGGGGCCATATCTGGGAATTTTGCTGCAAACTCATTAACAGACTTAGCCAAGGCTTCCCTTT